CATAACCCCCCCCCCCAACCCCCACCCCACAACAAACAAACAAGAAAAAACTACTCACCAATTCCCCAAACGCAATCTACACATTCAGAAGAAAGACTCTCAGATCTGTTGCCGATCTTGTAAATGTGAAAGAGAAGATGAAACCCTCTTCCGAATTTTGATGACTCTTTCTACTTATTCAACAATCTCTACTTTATCATTTATTTTCCTACTACTACTACTTTATTTAGCTCATAAATAAAATTACAACCACACCCTACTAACTCCCCTATATTGCTAAACAACACCTTTTCTCTTTCATAACAAAACAAAACAATTTCTAGTGTCCTATACGTGTTTTCTTTTTTGTATAAATAAAATAAAAGAATTTAATAGAGTAAAGAAACAAATTTATTTAGAGTTATTTAGCCAATGGGAAATACTAGTTTAATGCTATTGGCTTAAAAACTTGTCCAAAAACCCAAAAGGATAATAACATTTTAGATATTTTAATGAAAGAAAATCGATTTCTATCAAATTCCAAACTTAAAATTTCCCTTAAATCAAAACTAAATTTCTCAATTCGTATTCTAAGCTAGCAAGATATATTAATGAATTTTTATTAGAAATTCTCTTTTAAGTTTTTCTTTTGCCCTTTACACCAAGTTGACTTGTAGTTGGAGTCAATTTGAGGTAAAGGTAGTGTTTAAGGGTGTGTTCGACCAAGAGAAAACATATTTTAGTTATAGTTTATAAAAGAAATAATGCATGTATTAATTTTGTGTATTTAATTTTTTATTTGTCAAAATTTTTAAAAATATATTTTTTTAGAAAAATAAGTTTATTAAAAATAGGAAATATAAATTTTCTAATATAAGTAGGATAAACAAGCAGTATTCACATTATTTGTATCCTCTCTGCCTCGAACACACTTCATTTTCACCCCAACTTATGATTTGTGGGTTCATTTGAATCCCCATTGATGGAAATTTTTATTATTTATATGTGATTAAATTTATATATATATTAGATGTCAAATCCTTTCGACTAATTCATATTTACTTCTTCGGATTTTAAACTCCTTTAATGAAAATTTAAATTCCACCACTACATCTTATCCCACCTTCTATAATATTTATCTAAAATATAAATAAATATTTTCTCACTTATATTAAATATATAAAGTGAATAAAAATTTACTTATTTTTCAAAAATATTTTCAATTCATACTGAGCATACTCTAAATGGAAATGAAAGTCATAATAATCAGTTCATAGTTGTAAACATTTTCCTCATTTTTATTACAAAGCCAAAAAGTCAACATTAGAAAGAGGGAACAATTTTGGCTGTGTGTGATTGGATAGTCACCGACAACTTTCCGCGTTTGAACTTGAATTCATGAATCAGTTTTTTTTTATTATTATTTTGAGAAAATAAATAAAAATCTTCTATAAATTGACAATATAATTTACTTTTAACACTTTAATTACACGAATATTTATTAACCCCTTAATCTTATTTGAGGTGAATAAACATCACCCCTAATCCTGATGTGGTAAAAGAAAAAAGGTAAGGCACCACGTAATTTTTTTATTAAAAAAATTGATCTCACTAATATATGTATTATATAATTAAAAAATAAAAGAAAAATCGCCTTCTTTCATCTTCTCCAAACCCCACCATCCTCTTTCTCTTGTGCAAACCCCCACTCCTTTTCTCCTTTTTTCGAACTCCCTACCCCACCCCCTTTCTCCTTCTTCAAATACCACCATCGCATCTCCATCTCATCTACATCTTAATATTATCTTCTTTTTTTTGTTTTTTTCCCTTTTTTTCCAGATCTACTAAAGAGATCAAAATCATTAATGAAAATTGGGTAAATCCATTAAACCTCACTCCTTTTAAAATTGAGATTTTCGTCAAACAAAAGATAATCACACTAACATATTTTATGATTTCAGAAATTATTAGTGTTGTATTTCATGAAAAATTAAGTGTTTTTGAGGTTAAAATATTGGAAGGGGGGTTGTATTTTTTTCTTTTCCAAGGGGTCTAATTCATCTTCATTTTCAGCAAAACTATTTGCCCTCAAACACCAAAAAGAGCAATAAATCATTAAGAAATTTAATGGAGATTCCATATTGTTGCAATTTCACATCAATGGATATTGATAGAAAATGAACAAGAAAATTTTCTCTTAAAAAAATTGGCGAAATGGTTAGGAGAAACTGATTTTGAAAACAGAGAAGTCATTAGTGAAAATTATGTTAGGTTTTAAAGTTGTGAATAAGAAGTGAAGGGTTGTGACTCTCCTAAAGGGTTGCGACTTTTACGAAAGGTTTGTGACCTTTACGAAAAGTTGTGTCTTTTCTAAAGTGTTGTGACCATTTGAAAGGTTGTCTCTTTTTCAAAGAGTTGTGACCTTTCCGATAAGGCACAATACATTTTCATACTACTCTTTGTTGGCTATAAATAGAGAGGCTTTCTCTCATTTTTCTAGATCAAATTCTTCCCTTCTTCTGCATATATTTCTTATAAACAAAATTGATCAATAGTGTTTGTGTGTATGATCTTATTACTGTCTTTTTGAATTCTGAATTCGTTGAAATTATCGAAGTTTGAGGTACCACTACTTCTTTAATGGTTAATCCATTTTATCTTGGGAGGAATTAATTTACAACTTCGGGTACTTGAGGGATTAAATTTCTTAAGGACACACAGTGAATTCTGTGGACTCGGATAGTTCTTTTCTTTTTCTTTTCATCTTTTATTATTTTTGGTTTGTTAATCTGAATACAAGATACAACAAATTAAAGATAATCAAGCAATGACTAAGAAAACTTAATGGAGGTGGAGGGTGGTGCGTCCATTGGAGAGAGAAGGGAAGAAAAAAATTAAATTCTTTAAATTGATTCCCGACATGGGAGAGAGATCAAAAGGGAAGAAAAAAAATTATATTTTTAACTGATTTCCGACATGGCTCTAATGTGGCAATGACGTGGTGTTGATATGACAATGACTTGTCACGTGTGTAATGCACTTACCATTGTGAGTCTGGTTTTGTATTCTTGGGATGATATTTATTCACTTCAAATAAGATTGGGGGGGGGGGGGGGGGGGGGGGTAAATAAACACATGTGTAGTTAAAGTGCTAAAGTAAGTTGTGCTGCCAAGTTCATAATTTTTTTATGTGTTCTCTCTTTTATTTTTTCACTTGTGACTATGTATCCAAGGGGACTCGAACCCGAGATCTTTTGGTTAAGGATGAAGAAATACTTACCAAAAGAAGATGAAAAATCGTCCAAACCGACTGAACCGAACCAATTTATATTATTTTTTCAATAAAATCGTGGACTTTTATTTAACTGTATAACCATCCCAAACAATTGGGATGTTCTTTTAATTTATAAAAAAACCAAAAAAATTTCGAACCAAACCGAATAACCTTTCATGTATGTAAATATATTTTATATGTTAAAAATTATATATGAATGTATTTTATAACATTTTTAAAATATAAATATAAACATTTTTCAGGTACGAATAGAACTTAGGTCTTAGGTCTCTGGTGACTAAACGACTTTGAGTTTTTGCTTTTTAATTATTCTTTAATTAATTTGATTTAAAATTAAAAGATACTATAATAAATACTTCATCAAGCAATATGGAAATACCTATACAAGCATTAATTGCATTCCCTATCGGTGAATCGCCGACTGCAACGATGAAGGACAACCATGTCACCGAAAGTACTGATTGAGACCAAGATGAATTCAAATTGGTGAGCTAAAAGACTAAAGGGCGCATCGCAAAAATGAACGGCGATCTCGATTTAGATCGACTAAAAGTACAGTGTTTGAACGAGGAAAATGTGAAGAAAGAAGGCGAGAAGAAAGGACAATTGGCGAATCGCCGAATGGTCGGCGAAGCCCGACTTACCTCACTGATTGGCCCCAAAAAACCACACCTCAGATTAGTATAAATTGATTTTTGGAAGAGAGAGAAAGCATTCAGAAATTGTGAGGAACAAAAGAAGGAGAGCAAAAACACTGCTATTGTGGATTCTGAGTAATTTTAGCAAGATTTTTCAATTGGGTCTTGTAATAGAGAAGATATTATTCATTTTAGATTTTTGATTTTCAAATACCCAGTTATGGAGCATGTAGCAGGTATCAAAATTTATCATTTTTACGATGATTGGCTAAAACCCTAATCTTGGAGGTTTGACAATGTAACCAATTGTTGCATTTGACTTAATGGGTGTTAGTATTTATCGACTTTTGGTGTTAATTTAAAAGTTTAACTCCTATATTATATGTGTAGTGCAATATACCTCAGGATTTTATGCTTGCTTGAGAGAGAAATGTAGAGCTAAGGTAGTAACTTGGCATTCATAGCTAGTGGGTCGTGACAGTTTCAGCTTGAGAAAGTGAAATTCAAGATTCATCATTTGTATCTAGCTCGAGAGAGTAGATTTGATGAGATTGTGGGCTGATCTTCTTATGGAGTGCGTTGAGGTTCGAAAGAACTCAGTGGAAACAAGACAATTGTTCAAGAGAAAAGTGTCTTACCTAAAGTCCATCCTACCCATGACGAATTACATTGTTGGTTGGTGATTTGTACCCGTTGAGTTGAACTAGGCAGTTGGTTAGTCAATCCCCCAAGCATTGTCTCCTTATTTGATTGTTCCTTGTTGATTGTTGAAGTGGTTTTGTTGTTTAAAAACTGCTCGATTGGATTAGTGACTACGACTTCGAGTTTAGTTCATAGTTTTCCTAAAACTTTTATTCCTTCAATTGTAAAAGTCACTGTTATAACTTTATAGTCGAATTCAAAATAGGACTACTCTCTGTAGGATCGACCCCAACTCATTTAGTTGGGTTTTATACTGATTTACGATCGTTGAACACCTAGAATTGGATGAGGTGTGCTTGAAACGTTAAATCAAATGGCGCCGCTGTCGGGGAGTAGCGTTGTTTAGAGTTCTTTTATCGAAGTTTAACTTGTGAAATTATCGGCTATAGTTTAATTGATTTAGATTGAATTGTGTTTGTGTCGGTTGTGCTGAGCAGAAAAGAGAATGAGTGAGACAAAGATGAATGGTGGCCAAGCAGATCACCGAGATGATGTTGATGATGTTAATAGTGTGCATAACTCAATCCAATTGGGTGGAATTGGTGCCATCTGCCTACCGTCAGCCGAAAAGGATGTTATGTTTGATATCACAAGTACAACCCTTCATCTCCTTCAAATGAAGGGACTCTATGGAGGGTTGACTCATGAAGACCCATATGAGAATGTGAGGAATTTTATAGATGTTTGCAGCCCGTTTTCATTCAAGAATGTGTCGCAAAAATCAATTCGGCTCAGGTTATTTCCATTATCTCTGACGGGGGAGGATAGCAAATGGTTGGCTGAGTTACCAAAGAATTCTATCACATCGTGGGATGAGCTTACCACGACATTCAATGCGAGGTTCTTTTCCCCGTCGAGGATGATGAAACTCAGAGATAACATTCAAGGTTTCAAGCGATTGGAGGGTAAACCTATCCATGAAGCGTGGCCGAGATTCAAGAAACTTCTACTTCAATGCCCAACTCACAGACTTCCAAACAATTTGTTGCTCCAATACTTCTTCGGAGTCTTGATTCAGTAAATAAAAAAGTGGTTGATCAATTGGTCCGAGGGGGAATAATGTTGCAATTGTTTGAAGTGGCTTCATTTTTTCTTGATGACATGACGAAAATAAACCAAGCTTGGTACACTCAAGAAGATCAAGTATCGCCTTTTTGCTTTAGAATGACTCAAGAGCAACTTGATAAGGAAAGAGAAAGGGATGAGAACATCAAGAAAATGTTAGCCCAAATGGAACTACTACAAGCACAAGTGTTAGAGAATGTGAAAAAGCCCAAAGGAACAAGTGGAGTGTTTGATTTGAGGAGGGTTCTTCTTCAACCTATTCCAAGCCGGGGGAGGATCAAGGTTGGAGCTTTCACGGAATCGAGGAGGGTTTCCACCCACGTTACTTGTAGCAAGGTGAAAGTCAAGGTTGGAACTCTTACAAAGAAGAAGACCGGAGAAGACACTATCAAGGATGGGCTGAGCAAGGTAATCCTTTGAAAATAGAGGATGATCATGAAGAGAACCACACACAATCGAGTGAGAGTCCAAAGTCAAATGTGAGTACAAGTAGTCCCCGAGTGGATGATTTTTTGTCTCGCATCCTTGATAAAGTTGAGGGTTCAGATGATTTTCTAAAAGGGATGAAAGCCGATTTCTCGTCATTAAACTATTTGCCGTCAATACTTTGGTTCAAAGTCCTTGCAGTCACTACTTTGGTTCAAAATGCTCTTGCAGTCAATACTTTGATCCAGAAATGTCCATATAGTTATTAAATGAGTCAAAAATGTCATTTTCCGAATACATATATTATTATTTTTCTTTTTAAACACATCTTCTTTCTAATTAAAATATTATCAAAGAACCATGTTCTTGTCTTCTTTCTTTTAAAATCACTTTAACAAATGAAAATGTAAGAAATATTTTATTTCTTCTCAACCTCATTTTATCAATTAAAATAGAATAACTTCATGTACCCTTTCGACAGATAATATATGTCATATATATAAGATCATAGTATATCCATCATAATTTATATTTATATAACGATAAAAAATAATTATAATAAAATAAGAAATATTTTTCATTTTTTACTTTGTTTTCTGAATTGAAGTAAGATAAACATTTGCTAATTTAAAAAAATATTATTAGAAAAAAAATGTATTAAAAAAAATAATCAATATATTTATTTGAAAAATGAGTATTTTTGACCCATTAAATAACAACAAGAGCATTTTTTGACCAAAATATTGACGGTAAGGACATTTTTTAATCAAACTAGAAATATAGGGCATTTTTGTTCCTTTCGCATAATTTAAGGACATTTTTAACCTTTTTCCCTATATTATATATAAAAGTGCACGTGAAGAAAGTATACAAATTGAAGTATGAAAGTTGTCACGTGGCAGTGTATGAAGACACACCTTGACACAACTTCACACGGAAGACTTGATTACGTTTGGTTTTGGGTTACTAATTTGTTTTGGACTCGATTATTTTATTTAGAATTTCCTACATCAATAAATAATTCATAAAAATAATTATAAAGGTAGGAGGACGCAATGTAGAAAATAACTTTTGACTATGAGCCAACGTGGAGGCCGGAGAACTTGAATTTCATCTTTTCTTTCCTATATCAATTATTTTTACATCTTCTCTTTATATAATTTGTTGTAATTGTTCTATGTCTATGTGGAGTTAAACTTCTTATTCTAGGATTATGTTAACTTATAAAATGATTGTTTAGTGACTTCTGATTTGGTATACTTGTTTATCATATTGGTTGTTCTTATATTCTTGTTCTTACTATTTTGATGCTTGATCACCATTGAAATAAATTTATTGTCTTCTTTTGAACTCAGAAGAGTAATAGAGGGATAGAACATGGAATATAAGGAGTATGATTTTTTCTTACATATATGGAATTGATTTGTGTTTAAGTTTGAGTCAAACTATGAACGGAGGACATTTTTGTTCCTTTCACATAGTTTAAGGACATTTTTTACACTTTTTCCCTATAATAGATTATTATATTCAATTTAATCTATTAAAATGTCTGTTTGATTTTCTTCTATAATCTTTCATTTTTAATTCGTTTTAGCTCCAAACTTCTTCATCTTCACACCAATTTTATCTACAAATAAAATATACTATTATGCACAATCCATAAAATTTATGCTCAAAAGGGACAAATAAAAATACTAAATGTGAGGCGAATAATGATTAAAAATATATATTTTTGATCTCATATCATCTTTCATTTTACTATCTTTGACAAAAAAATGCACTTGTGTTTAGCCAAATGAGTCAGAAAATGCAACAGAGAACAATGATCTATTTGGAAGAGTTAAACGAATAAAACTATAGTAATTTAAAAAAATTACACTAATTAACATTGAATAAACGAAAAATGCACCTGTCCAGCAAATAATAATAATAATATGATGGCAGAAGGTCAATGAATAGAAGTAGAGTGAATGTAAGGAGAGCGCATAGCGTACGTTATATATGTGCTATCCAATTTGGACCGAAGAAAGATCAAAATTGGACTTAAAAGTCATCATTTAGGTTCAGAACTAACTCGAATGGATATGTATGATTAATTAGAAAAGGAAATGATTGACTATAGAGGTTCTTTGACTTTTCTGTAAGAATACAACAATAACTGGACATTGGCCTACTCCAAGAATGAGTTACTATTGGGCTTTTATTGTCCAGTTTTTTTTATTGTAGGCAAACTATTCCTCTTCAACTTGTTTGTTTATAGCAACTGAACATGTTTCTCTCTCAGCTATTCATTCTCTTATTGTGTATTCAAACAATCATCATATCTGTTGCCACTAACATTCATGAAGAAAACATTGCCATATCATGTGGTGCCTCTGGCAATTCCCCTGCACCAGATGGACGATTATGGATTGGAGATTCAACTTTCACTTCCTCATTTCTACACTTAACTGGAAAATCTATTAATTCAAGAGTACCTTGCCAAGTTGCCTTGTTGGATCCAGTTCCTTATAAGTCTGCTCGAACGTCTCGCCATCAGTTTACCTACAAATTTTCAGTGAAACCAGGACACAAGTTCTTACGCCTGCACTTCAAACCAGCTTCATACAAAGGTTTCATCAAGTCCAAACCCATTTTTACTGTCAAAACTGATCAGCATACCCTGCTCAGTGACTTCATACCTACCCTTGCTGCAGGCATCAACTATTTCAAAAAGGAATTTTGCATCAATGTAAAAGAAAGTGAAACATTAAGCATAACATTCATACCATCTCGAAAATCAGGCTTTTCAGAAGACACTTATGCTTTTGTTAATGCAATCGAGATTGTTTCCATACCGTCTGGTCTGTATTTCACACCAGATGGCGATCAGGGAGTCCCTGTTGTTGGACGAAATTTCAGATTCTACATTGACAATAGCACAGCACTGGAGACAATTCAGCGAATAAATGTTGGCGGAAACTCTATTTCATCCTTGGAAGATGCAACCATGTTTCGGGACTGGGAAGATGACACTAATTACCTGATTCAAGTTGGTGCCTTTTCGATCAACAGAGCCGTTGATATCAGATATGCATCCTCAGCAACTCACATTGCACCAAAAGAAGTTTACCAAACGGCCAGGTCAATGGGTGCTCACTGCCATTCGAATTTCTGTAATCTCACATGGAACATTCCACTTGATTTGGGATTCAGATACCTTGTTAGGCTTCACTTTTGTGAAATTGAACCTACAATGATAAATGAAGGCCAAAGGAATTTCACTATTGTCATAAACAATCAGAATGCTGAAGATGATGCTGATGTGATCAAATGGAGTGGGGGGCATGGAATTTCTGTATACAGGGACTATGTTGCCATTATGGAGGGTGATAGAAGGGAAGGGAAGCGTAACCTTACTATAGTTTTGCAGCCAAACTTTGCTTCAATCGGTAAACATGCTAATGCCATCTTAAATGGGCTAGAAGTCTTCAAGATAAGCAACCCTGACAACAATCTTGGTAGTGTGAGCCCAGTGCATCCTGTTACAAGTTCAACACCAGAAAAATCAGAGGAAACTGTGCTGTTCTATACAAAGAATCAAATTGCAACTGCACTGACATTTATAGTCACTTTGATTAACGTTGCTGTTTATTACATTAGGCATAATGCAGAAATAAAGTCTGGCAAGACGTATAATGGAATATCTTCAGGAGAGCATCAGTGTCGTCAATTTTCACTGGATGAGATGGAAAGATCAACGAACAATTTTGATCCTCAGCTTGTCATTGGTAGCGGTGGATATGGTACAGTATACAAAGGGGATATTGATGGTGGAGAGACCACTGTAGCAGTTAAGCGATCGAAACCAGGATCTAGCCAGGGGGAGAAAGAGTTTTGGACGGAAATCAATATGTTATCTACGCACCGCCATGAGAACCTTCTCTCCCTCATTGGTTACTGCATTGAAGGTCATGAGATGTTATTAGTTTATGATTATATGCCTCGAGGATCACTTGCTGACAACCTGTACAAAATGGACAGAAATAGCTCATCTCTCTCTTGGGAACGGAGACTCAAGATTGCTATAGGTGCTGCACGTGGACTGGATTTCCTTCATACATCTCAAAATAGGGTGATACATCGTGATATCAAAAGCTCAAACATTCTATTGGATGAAAACTGGGAAAGTAAGATCTCAGATTTTGGGTTGTCCAAAATGGGGCCTGGAAATGAATCAGCTACTCATGTTAGTACACAAGTCAAAGGCACATTTGGGTACCTCGATCCTGAGTACTTCCTGACTAATAGATTGACATGGAAAACTGATGTATATGCTTTTGGAGTAGTACTATTTGAATTGCTCTCAGGAAGACCTGCAGTCGATATGAGCCTGCCTGAGGAACAACATGGACTTGTAGCATGGGCCAAACAATGCATCAAGGAAGGAGAAATTAATAAGCTTATTGATCAGAATCTGTTGGGGTCCATCTCATCAACTTGTCTAAAGGCGTTTATAGGAATTTCTGCTAAATGCTTCGATGGTCGTCCGCAAGAACGGCCTGCGATGTCTGAAGTGGTGAAAAGCCTGGAATTAGCATTAGTATTTCAGAAGAACGAAGGTGAAGGTATCATTTCATTTGAGGACACATCAACGTCATCTCAGTTACAGATTGAAGGAGAGAGGGCATCCATTAAAGAGGATTGTAATGGCGGTGATACAACAGAAAGGAGTGCCATCTCAAGGGAAAAGGTAAAATCTGAGGATAAAAGTCCCTACACTGCTTCACCAAGATGGTGGGATGTTCGTAGCCATTTCAGAAAAGCACCACCAAAGCCAGTGAATCTTGTTTATCCAGATAGCCAAATATCACAGCACCCAAATTTAAGGATATTTTCTTTCTCTGAACTCAAGGCCGCCACCAGAAAATTTAGCAATGACACGGTGCTGGGAGAAGGTGGTTTTGGTAAAGTTTACAAGGGTTACCTTGCTGAGTCTCTTTCTTCCAAGAGTGGCCGGACAGTAATTGCGGTTAAGCAATTGAGTTCTGAAAGCTTTCAAGGGTGGCAGGTGATTCCTCTGTGCTAAATATGTGAACTTCTAGTTTAAGTTTTCTAATTGAAGCTATTTCTAGTTTATGCCTGGCATTAGCTGCAATTACTCTCTTCTTTATTGTCTGTCTGAGAGAAATATAGATTTACGTAGAAGCACTTGACATTGATTTATTACTTAGTAGTAACACATTCTAGGTAAATGTTGGTTATATATCTCTTGCGAATTTCATTTCATTTGTTAATTATGCAGTCTGAGGTGAGCATTCTTGGAAGACTTTCTCATCCTAACCTCATCAAACTCTTGGGTTACTGCCAGGAAGATAAAGAACTACTGCTTGTCTATGAGTTTATGCCAAAGGGCAGCTTGAACAACCATCTTTTTGGAAGTAAGAGATTATCTATACGTTCCATCAATAATATATAACATATTGTAGATCAAAGCAGCAAGGAATGTGCCTAGCTACTTCATGCTCCACCTAAACATATTTGTTATCTTTGTTTGCTTAGGGCGCTCTGTTGCTTTGTCACTTCCATGGAATGTAAGGGTTCAAATTATGATTGGCGCAGCTCGAGGCTTGGCATTCCTACATGCATCAGAAAAGCAAGTCATTTACAGAGACTTCAAAGCCTCAAATTTATTACTTGATGGCGTATGTTCTCTTTACTTCTCCCTAGGAATATACCTTTATTAGCGCAAGTAATAAAGGTATCACAAGCCCTTTTCTTACTGGGCCCCTTTTTGGTTTACACACACTGTTTTGCCTAAAGTTTTGGAGCTATTTATCACAGAGAGACAACACCTGACGTATAACAGTGAAAACATTAGAGAAAGGTTGTTATTAATATAACTGTTCCATGACATTCTTTATTTCTTTAATGTTTCAGTCTTACAATGCGAAGATAGCAGATTTTGGCTTGGCAAAACAAGGTATTTCGGCTAGTCAATCACATGTGACAACACAGGTACTTGGAACGTACGGTTATGCTGCTCCCGAGTATATTGCAACAGGTAAACTTGGAGTCTGTTGGGCTTCTGCACTTGGAAATTCTACTTCTCTTGAAGCACATGCATCTTGTGCTTACAAGTTTAAACATATAGTCAAGTGTATTATTTGTTTTCTACAGGACACTTGTACGTGAAGAGCGATGTCTATGCTTTTGGTGTCTTTTTAGTGGAAATGCTAACAGGTTTACGAGTAATAGACTTAAACCGCCCAAGCAACCAGCATAATCTAATTGACTGGATTAAGCCTCATTTATCTGACAAAAGGAAGTTGAAGGACAGAATCGATTCACGGCTGGGAGGAAAATATCCATCCAGAGCTGCAGTACAAATAGCACAACTGGCACTATCATGTCTTGGAAATGAACCTAAAAGCAGACCATCGATGAAGGAAATAGTGGAGAAACTAGAACAGATTGAAGTTACCAATGAAAGATCCAAGGACCATGCTTCTCCTTCTAATCCAAGGAACCGGGCCTATCCACTCCTTAGAAGAGCAGAGTGAATATGATACTACTTTTAACAATATGAAGAAGCTACAATATTGTTAAAATTTTCAACTGTGAGTACTGTCACTTTAGGCGAGATCGTGCCAGTTGGACGATCCGCCCTTTTGGTTAGGCGATCAACAGTGTGGGTGGAGTTTACAGTTCATTCCATGTTTTTGGCCTTTCTTTCAAGTATTCATTCTTGCCTTGTCCCTTAGCCTACATAGCTGCAAATCATGAAAATATCATTAGAATATAACATAATTAGGCATTGATGACACTAATTGCTGAACTAAGTAGGTCACAAATAAGTGTAAATCTACCACTCATCAATGACATCCTCCATGGTTGAAACTCATTCCTTTGTCTAGAAAATCCAAATCTTGGCAGAATTGTTTATTGGAGCATATTTGTGTCCCCATTTCCTTCTATATTACTATAGCTCCTGTGGATCCTGGAAAGGTTTCATGACTGCTATAAATCAGTAATGATGCCTTCTATGTAGTTATATTAGTCTCTCAAAAGAATTCTGAGAGTTAACAGACATAATATTCTAGAATATGATTTTTTTTTCAATCATTGATCAATGGATCGGGTCTTATCTTTACTGCTCCTTGTTCTAACCTGAAGAGAGATCACAGATTTGCCTTTTCTGATCCTACTCTTCAGGTTATGTATGTGTCTAGGGTACAAAGTCCCCATCTTTGTTGATTTGATGAATATTCTCCTCCACACTATCATCCTTCTCCACATCCTTTCTCATTTGTATATGTTTCTCTGTTGCTACTACATTGTTTTTGTGGTATCTCCTCTTGAAGTTTTGTTCTTCCGTGTCCTTCGGATATAGCTGTGGGTGTTCAACATAACATTCCTCCTAGTTATGTCTCTAAATTATACATGTTTCACAATATTTGGGACATTGTCAACTTGATTCAGATACACTTCTCAACTATCTCTCCATTTTGTTGTTTCATCCTATGTTGATGCGCATTGGAAACTCGCCCACCAGATCTACTTCAACTTCCAATCTTGCATAGCTTGGTCTGTTCTGATTCTTGATGGTCATATTATCCTGTATGTAATGAATTATAAATCATTGTTGCTAGAGAAAACATTGTTTCCTTCCCAAAAAAATTTTTGGTGGAAGTGATGGAAAAGAAATTCAGGCTATTGTTGTTGAGGTTTCCTCCACGGATTGAATAGTGGTCTAATTAACAAAAGTGTGATTCTAAATATTATTTTTATCATAAAAATTTGACCCATAAATTTATATTTTACCAAAAAAAAAAAAAGACACATAATTTTATATTTTACAAAAAGAGACTCATGCTCAATGTGAAAAGATTGTTGTACCATGTGGGAGAATTTTATCAAAGAGTTTTTAGTTACTATTATATTGATTTATTCGACCAGTGAATTTTTGTAAAATTATGTGTATTTGAAAAATAATAATAACATGTAACTGCAAATATTTATTTATAAAAGCAATAAGAAAGTATGTGATATATTAATCCATCGCCTCAGTATATTTAGATAACTTATTTATAAACTATAATTTGCTAATTTGATAAATTTGTACAACAAAATGGCAAAGTTTTGATAATTTAACAAGTTATGAATTATCATGTTTATGCTTTAAGAATTCAAATGAAATCATGTACAAAGGAACCTAAAGTTAGTGGTTGTTTCATATGGTGGAATACTTGGAGAAGATGGTCATAGCATAAGCATGTAGAAGCGAATTCATTGCCGGGATATCAAAAGCATTGATAGTCTCAGCCAATAAACATACGAGGCAATGTGGGACTATGAGCTCAAAGCAAGAAGCTTGTCTAGCTACCTGGTACCTATCCTACTTTGTATAATCCTGCTTTTCTGGGAAGAATCTATCTCACATGAATGAAACGACCGCGTAATTAGCTGTAAATCATCATAACAATAACTAATTGGTTCTACCTAAACTATTGCTTTAGCTAGTTGGATGCACTTGTTGTTATGCACCTTCTCAGTCTTTATATATATGCATTTTCTGATATCAACATCCCCCACCCGCACAATAACACCCCTGACCTTAAGAGTGAAATGAGAAAAACATGCATTATTTTCAATTGGTACAGCACAAAACCTGAAAGACATTATTAGTACTAAAACAACAGTTCCTATGTAATATTAGCTGCCTCTTGCAGCTTGAGTGCTTCCTTGAGACTTGTGATTATATCATTCATTGATGGACGTTTGTTACCCTCATCGTGCAGGCAGTTAATTGCAGTATCTACAAACAGCTCAAAGCAGTCAGGTGATATTCTTCCAACTAAGCATGGGTGAATCGAATGGGACGTCACAGTCATAAAACATGTTTTAATCCATTGGGCTAGACTGACCTGTCCCTGATTCAGCCAATGTTCCAATGCTTCATTGGCACATAGCATCTCAAATAACACCAAGCCAAATGAGTATGCGTATGATTCTGTCAATCTTTTATCTCGTAAGTAGTCTGAATCCAAATATCCCCCTTCATGAATTACCCCCGCTGTATTGATCCCTTTTGTTTTTGACCAGCTAACTTCTGAAACTTTGGCTACCAAATTCTCATCCAAAAAAATATAGGAGGAGTTGAAAATGCAATGGAGAACTGTTATCTTCAGTATGGACCGAAGATAGTTCAAACCCTCTGCAGCACCAATGCAGATCTCAAGCCTCTTCTTCCATGAGAGAGGATTCCTATCAGGGTCACGGAGATAATCATGTAGGGTCCCTCCAGCTGCATAATCATACACAAGGATCATCTCTGTAACATTTCTGCAAAACCCAATCAGTGACACCATGTTGATGTGGCTAGGCAAGGGACTCATTTCTCTTTTAGCTAGCAACTCACTAACCATGTGAAGTCTTGACTCTGCAGTGTGTGAACGTCTGATGGCAACACGTCGACCATTTATGAAGCCAACGTATGCATTGTCAGATCCTAGAAAACCTATTTTCAGGCTCTCATTGAAATCTTTTGTAGCCTTTAGCATCTCATTGAGGGGGAAGCAGTAAAGTACTTGTGGCGGTGTTGGTAGAGCTATTGGCTTTGGTGGTGTTTTTGGAAAAAGACCAAAAAAATCCCACCATCTCCGTGAAATGACACTCCTTTTTGCTATATCAATGCCATTACAACCCTCTTTGATGGATGCCCTTTCTGCTTCAGCCCTTGACTGAGATGTTGATGTGTCATCAAATGAAATGATGCCTTCACCTGCACTCTGCTGAAATACTAATGCTAATTCCAGACTTTTCACCACTTTAGACATTGGAGGCCGTTCACGTGGATTATCATCCAAGCATTTTTCTGCAATTCCTATGAACACCTTCAAACAAGTTGATGAGATAGGCCCTTCCAGATTCAGGTCAATAAGCTTATTAACTTCTCCTTCCCTGATGCATTGCTTGGCCCATGCTACAAGTCCATGCTGCTCCTCAGGCAGGCCCATATCGACTGCAGGTCTTCCTGAGAGCAATTCAAATAGTACTACTCCAAAAGCATACACATCAGCTTTCCATGTCAATCTTTTAGTCTGGAAGTACTCAGGATCGAGGTACCCAAATGTGCCTTTGACTTGTGTACTAACATGAGTAGCTGATTCATTTCCAGGCCCCATTTTGGACAACCCAAAATCTGAAATCTTACTTTCCCAGTTTTCATCCAGCAGAATGTTTGAGCTTTTGATATCACGATGTATCACCCTATTTTGAGATGTATGAAGGAAATCCAGTCCACGTGCAGCACCTATAGCAATCTTGAGTCTCCGTTCCCAAGAGAGAGATGAGCTATTTCTGTCCATTTTGTACAGGTTGTCAGCAAGTGATCCCCGAGGCATATAACCATAAACTAATAACATCTCATGACCTTCAGTGCAGTAACCAATTAGGGAGAGAAGGTTCTCATGGCGGTGCATAGATAACATATTGATTTCCATCCAAAACTCTTTCCCCCCCTGGCTAGATCCTCGTTTCAATCGCTTAACTGCTACAGTGGTTTTTCCACCATCAATATCCCCTTTATATACTGGGCCATATCCACCGCTACCAATGACAAGCTGAGGATCAAAATTGTTCGTTGATCTTTTCATCTCATCCAATGAGAATTGACGACACTGATGCTCTCCTGAAGATATTCTATTGTTCGTCTTTCCAGAGTTCATCTCTGAAATACACCTAATGTAATAAACAGCAACATTGACCAAAGTGACCATAAATGTCAGTACAGTTGCAATTTGATTCTTTGTATAGAACAGCACAGATTCCTCTGATTTTTCTGGTGTTGAACTTATAACAGGATGCACAGGGCTCACACTACCAAGATTGTTGTCAGGATTGCTTATCTTGAAGACTTCTATCCCATTTAAGATGGCATTAGCATGTTTACTGATTGAAGGAAACTTTGGCTGCAAAACTATAGTAAGGTTACGCTTCCCTTCCCTTCTATCACCCTCCATAATGGCAACATAGTCCCTGTATACAGAAATTCCATTCCCCCCACTCCATTTGATCACATTAGCATCATCTTCAGCATTCTGATTGTTTATAACAATAGTGAAATTCCTTTGGCCTTCATATGTGATCATAGGTTCAATTTCACAAAAGTGAAGCCTAACAAGGTATCTGAATCCCAAATCAAGTGGAATGTTCCATGTGAGATTACAGAAATTCAAATGGCAGTGCGCACCCACTGACCTGGCCGTCAGGTAAACTTCTTTTGGTGCAACGTGAGTTGCTGAGGATGCATATCTGATATCAACGGCTCTGTTGATCGAAAAGGCTCCTACTTGAATCAGGTAATTAGTGTCATCTTCCCAGTCCCGGAACATGGTTGCATCTTCCAAGGATGAAATAGAGTTTCCGCCAACATTTATTCGCTGAATTGTCTCCAGTGCTGTGCTGTTGTCAATGTAGAATCTGTAATTTCGTCCAACAACAGGGACTCCCTGATCGCCATCAGGTGTGAAATACAGACCAGAGGGCATGGAAACAATCTCGATTGCATTAACAAAAGCATAAGTGTCTTCTGAAAAGCTTGATTTTCGAGATGGTATGAATGTTATGCTTAATGTTTCACTTTCTTGTACATTGATGCAAAATTCCTTTTTGAAATAGTTCATACCTGCAGCAAGGGTAGGTATGAAGTCA